ATATATATATATACAATGGAATATTACTCAGCCATAAAAAGAAACGAAATTGAGGTATTTATAGTGAGGTGGATGGACCTAGAGACTGTCATCCAGAGTGAAGTATGTCAGAAAGATAAAAACAAATATCGTACACTAACACATATATATGGAATCTAAAATAAAATAAATGGTTCTGAAGAACCTAGGGGCAGGACAGGAATAAAGATGCAGACGTAGAGAATGGACTTGAGGACATGGGCAGGCGGAAGGGTAGACTGGGACGAAGTGAGAGAGTGGCATGGACATACATACACTACCAAATGTAAAATAGGTAGCTAGTGGGAAGCAGCCACATAGCACAGGGAGCTCAGCTTGGTGCTTTGTGACCACCTAGAGAGGTGAGATAGGGAGGATGAGAGGGAGACTCAAGAAGGAGGGCATATGCGGATACATGTATAATATATGTATATGTATAGCTGATTCACTTTGTTATACAGCAGAAACTAACACAACATTGTAAAGCAATTATACTCCAATAAAGATGTTAAAAAATATATATTAAAGATATTTAAGTAAGATTCTCTGTACTCACATAAGTAAATTATGGACTGTCATTTCTGAGACATCCTTTTCCACCCCACACTGGGCCGAATCTGCTCTTTTAAAAGCATGCTATAACAAAGAGGCCTTTGGGGGGGATCATAGTTGTTCTATTTTTACCTGGATGTTGATTAACATAGTTGTGCTCATTCTGAAAATTCACTGAACTATACATTTACTATTACTTTTGCACTTTTCTGTATGTGCTTACGTCGGAATTCATAAAGATAGCAAAAGTATGCTGCCACCTTCCCAGAATCCCCAGAACTGATAAATTCTTGTTTTATTAATCTTTTCATCTCCCACAGATTAGAGGAAGGAACAATGACAAACTTTATTCCTGGATTTAATTCCTGAAAACAAATGAGAAACTGAATGGTGATGTGGAAATGACCGAAATCATGGGAGAAAATAACGATGTCAAATGACAACTTATTGAGAAATTGCTAAATATTGAGAAACCTGGAACATTAAATGTATCTGCAAAGAGAGAGCACAGAATAGTTGAGAACTTTGAAATTAGCCCAAGAACTAGCTCCATAATTTACTAAACTATGTGACTTAAGTAAGGTTATTTTATTCCTGTAAGAGTCCTCATCTGTAAAATGTGTTCAGTAATACCTACCTAAAGAGATGTATGAGGATTAGAATGAAGACACTGAAATGTTTTCCACGTATCTGAAATGAATGAATATTATTAACGTATAAGAAAGGTAATGCAACCTTATGTGACACTGCAAGGAAAGAGAAGGAGGAGGAGGGGGAGGCAGAGGACATTACAGTGACAACAGCACAGTTGAATTCTTTCAGAGCTATAACAGTAACTTTCATCTTGGTATCCTCAACATCTAATCTAGTACCTACTACAGTGAAAATTTGCTTAATTGAACTACATATGATTTGAGGGAAGTTAGCAAAATAGTGGTCAGAGAATTAAGAGTAAAATAATAGATTTTGTGTGTAAAAATCAAGTGGAGGTCATTGTAGATTAAATTTTCAGGATGTCTTACAGAAAATAGCAATCGGATATGAATGTAGGATTAATGTGTTTATTTTAATAGGAAAAAAACAGAGAACACAGATTAAAAATGTAAGAGAGATTACAGCTGATGACATAAACATTCCGTTAAAATGGTTTCTGACCAACAATTCCCAAAGCAGCATTTTCCAACTTCCTAATAAAATGCCCAGGAAAATAGAAAAAACAAACCAAAAAAACCCCTACACTACTAGCCAAAACTAAAAGCTATAGACAATCAGATGCCAGAGTTCAAGAGGAACTAAGGTTAAGTATGAGGCAAATGGAAGTAAACTAAGAAATAAAAAAGAATCCAACATATTAAATACCCCCTGATGCTGTGGTAATCTAAATGGGAGGGGATATCTGTATGTGTATGGCTGATTCACTTTGTTGTGCAGTGGAGGCTAACACAACATTATAAAGCAACCATACTCCAATAAAAATTTTAAAATAAATAAAAAATTTTAAAAACACCCCCTGATGGTTTCACTTATGAAGTGCAAGTCACATGGAAAAGGAAGGGGGTAGGGGGGACAATCATCTTTCCTTGGATTTGAAGGCCTACAACCTAAACCAAACAAAAAAAAAGATGCCATCCTTATCAACACCACAGATAGAAAGAGTTAATCCCCTTTACCCACTTGCCCTCAGTAGTCTAGATCTAGGCATAGTCTGTAAGCCATAAGATGTAAACTATAGAAAGTGGGGAGTGAGGTACTGGCAGTGATAGAGTACATTCCAAAAGTCAAGAGTCTCAAGGAGTAACATGCCTGAGGAGGTAAGGATAAGAAGAACCCGGGTAGCAGTACATAGATGAATCGTGGTTTTATTGTACTACAGGTCTGTGTTCTAAAGAATCAGTCCCTGGGGAACAGAAAAAAGTTGCCAGTTAAGTAGTTTTATATAAGTATTGGCAAATGAAAATCCCTAATGAATTAAACTAATACATCAAACAGTTTATTCCAAAAATGTAAGGATAATTCATTTTTTTAAATGTATTACATTTTAAACAGGAAAAACAATATGATCAACTCAATAGATTTATATAAGTATAAATACAAATGGCCAGCAAACATTAGTAACTATGACAGATGCAAATGAAAACTATGTTTTCTGATCATCAGAATAACAAGATATTTAGGACTGATAACTGCCAATACTGTGAAAGGACAGTCTAACACAATTCTAGTAAAAGCAGGTTCACTCTTTTGTGTGAATTCTATAATTTTTACATGTTTACAAGTACTGGTACTGGAATATATTTTTACACCATGTGTAACACTGTACTAGCATCCAATTAGTCCAATGGTTCTCAAGGTTTTTGGTCTCAGGACTCCTCTGCACCCCCCCAAAATTAGTGAGCAGATGAATGGTTGCCAGGGGCTTGGGGAGGGCTGACTACAAAGGGGCAGGAGGGAATCTGGGGTGGGTGATGAAACTGTTCTCTATCTTGATTGTGGTGGTAGTTACATGACTGTATGTGTTTGTCCAAAATCATAGAACTTTATATTTAAAAGGGTGAATATAATACAGGTAAATTAAACCTTTAAAAAGGCTGACTCCAAAACAAAATTCTTGAAGACCCCCTAAAAAGCTTTTCTTTATGTGGGTTATCAATATTTATTAGCTTATTAGAAATCATAAATGAGACAATTTTTGAATAGTTCTTTAAGTATTCATTTTTTAAATAATAAATGCACTAAATGTTAAAAAATAATATATTTTTCATGAAAAATAACTATTTTCCAAAGCAAAAAATATTTGGTGAGAAAACTCACACTTTTTTAGTAAATCTCTTTCATGTCTGCTTCAAATTGAAAACAGATGGATTCTCATATCTGCTTCTGCATTCAACCTGTTACAGTACGGCAGGTCATGTGGCCTCTGGAAAACTCCATTGTATATTTGTGAGAAAATGAGTGTGAAAAAGATGACATCTGCATATTATTATGAAAATAATTTTGAGTTGGAAGTGTCAGGAACCCCAGGGGCTCCTGGACCACACTTTGAGAACCTCTGATTTAAGCTATACAAGAAAATACCAGGGCTTCCCTGGTGGCGCAGTGGTTGAGAGTCCGCCTGCCTATGCAGGGGACACGGGTTCGTGCCCCGGTCCAGGAAGATCCCACATGCCGCGGAGCGGCTGGGCCCGTGAGCCACGGCCGCTGAGCCTGCGCGTCCGGAGCCTGTGCTCCACAACGGGAGAGGCCACAACAGTGAGAGGCCCGCGTACCACAAAAAAAAAAAAGAAAATACCAAATACTGAATATGGCATAATAATAAAATGTACTTATTTTCGAATCAAGGAAGCAGTCTCTTATGCAGATTATCTGTCCCGATTTAATACACTAATATTCCCCTTATCCAGGTCAAAACTGCTACCAAACAATGATTTAGGCTGAACTACAAATTTCAATTTAAATGAAAAATATTTCTGAGGTCCAAGGGTTTTAAAGAAAACAAAAAAACCCGCAAAAAACAGACCATAAGAGGTACAGCATCATCCTCAATCCCTCACTCACTGACTGTAGGACAAGGCAGATTAAAAGCAGCATGAACACAGAGAAAGTAAGGCAAAGAAAATGCCTGATCTCAAAAAAAGAAGAAAGCATAAAATGAAAAGGCACGTAGAATAAGGGCAAAAGTAAAGCAATACAGAAGCAAATATATCCTGAATGTAAAATACAAGAAAAAACAAATATTGCTCCTTGTGTGCATACTTGAAAGAGCTCAAAACTCTGTATTAAGACCACATCCCCACTGTGCAGAGAAGGGAAGCTACGGCAAATGGCTTTTCTTCTACAACGTCACTCATGTGACCCAAAATGGGAAGCCACTCCTCTCAGCAATCATTGTCTAACATGCTAAACAAGGTGGGAGACCTCTACGTTAAGGGGAACCTGGGGGTGCCTACTTAAGGCTCTTTATTTCAGTGTTTACCCAACTTTCAAAACCGAAGAGCCGTCCAGAACCATTCACTACCCCAAGCGACGAAGTCAGACGTGCTGTCTCCGGGAGCTTTGTTCCCAGGTCATTTTAAAATACTTTCCAAGGAACTGGTGGCACCGCCGGGAGACGGCGCAACCCCTGGGCGGACGCGGGCAGTCCTGGGCTCCCAACAGCGGCTGCGGCCGCCCTGTCACCTGTCCCGGGAGTCCCGCCCGCGGCGGTGGGGCGCCCCCGCACTCCCCCCAACCCAGCGCCTCCTTTGGCGAGGACCGCCCGGGCCTCATTTTCCCCACCTGTACTCGAGGGGTCGGACGGGCACCTCTTGGCGCCCCTCTAGCTCGACTATAGGACTCCGGGCGAGGGGGGCAGCTCGGCCGCTACCCCGCTCAGGTCGTACTCGCTGTGAGGGGGATTCCGAGGGGGCCGGTCCTCGGCGCCCCGCACTCACCCGGCTGATGCTTCAGTGCCATCACCGACACCAGGTAGTGGGCGATGTCAAAAAAGGGAAACATGGAAGTACGAGAAAAGGCAAGGGACAGCTCATTCCACGGACAGTCCATCACGACAACCGACCGCCGCAGCCGAAGCAGCCGCGGCGACGGGTTCCCGGCGTGCGCGACGAGGGGAGGGGTAAGTTACGGCCGCGGCCGCCCTCTCTTCGGCTGGGCCTCTCGGAGCTCTGCGCGTGCGCCTTGACACCCGGCGCCGGCGCGCGGAGGGGGCGGGCCGCGTGTCCCAGGAGCCTCGGATGCGCTGGCGGTTGGCCGCTGGGCGGGGTGAGGAGGGCCGGACCTTGTTCTCCTAATAAGAGTCCAGCGTCTTCTGCGTGCTGGGAGTTGTGTAAGACGCGGAGAATGGTCAGATGAATACAACATAAATAATGAATATGCATTATTTCTCTTAACATTTAGTGCATTTATTATTTTTAGAACGAATACATAAAGATCTATTTTAAATGTTTCTCAGTTATTTCTAATATGCTAAGTATTGATACATGAAACCCATAAACGTCTTCAGGACTTTTTGGGATCCTCAAGAAAAATTTTTAAGTCGGCCTTTTTAAAGGTTTAATTTAAATACATTTTATTCACCGTTTTTAGTGTAAAGTTTTATGATTTTGGATAAACGCAGTCCACAAGGGGAGACGCTCAGAATCGGATTTATTTCTGTGAATTGATTTCATTCACCTAACATTTCTCGAGGAACCACAGTATGCAAATCACACCATGACTTATTGGAGATATAAAAAATAATATGATAATATCCTGCCCTCAATAAACGTGTTTTCCCAAGGGAGATTACAAAGCGGGTAATAATAAGTATAGGTGCCATGATAGGGCAAGTTCCAAGGAGAGGAAGGCTATTTCAGGTTAGTGGTAAGGCAAACTAGCCTCTAAAAGCCAAGGGAAAGATGGAGGGAAGTACTTTGGCTGGACTACGAAGTGAGAAATTAGCTCAGAAAAGAAGTCCTTGAATGGCAGACCATAAACCAAGTGGTTTGGCCCCAGAGCCTAAGCTCTTGATCACTACATTTTATGCTCAGACAAATCCGAGCCAGACTCCAGTCTCTCAACCATTATGCTAAACTGCGTTTTTCTTTGTTTTTTTTTGCGGGGGGGGGGGGGTGGGGGGGGTGAGGTGGGAGGGAGGGTTGCAATCAAGCAACAAGATTAGGAAAGTTTGGTAAAAAGAGACTAAAGACAGGCGAAAATGGAGGATATTCACAGTTCCAAACAAAATGTAGTGGAGGCTGAGGACACTAGGAGCAGGGAACTGGATGGGGAAAGATGCAGTAGAACCAGAACAGGCTGGGTGTCACCTCAACCTGTCAAAAAAGGATGTGGGGAATGGGTGAGTAGGAGAATTATGGTTACATTCAGAGAAATAGGAAACAAGAATGAGGAGCAGACTTGGGTAGAAAAAAACAAGTTTAGTTTGGCACATTTTTTATTTGATGTGTCAACAGATCATGTGGACACCAGGAAACTGGAAATAACATAATGAGCTTCTAGGTAAGTAAGAGCCGCATGGGAGTAAGAACTACAGACTTGCATTGATTTTTTTTATCTGAATATTTGTCTGTTCGTTTTAATTCGTTTAACAAGGGCTTTTTGCTATGTACCAGGCATTTTGCTGGATGTCAGAGGCCCTGCCCTAAATACTAAGTGTTCAAAATGTGGGGGAAATTGTAGTAAATCTCTACATTTCACTACTTATCAAGAAAGAATAGAGTTGCTAAGATACTTTTCATATGTGGTTTTCTAAGCAAGCACCTCTTGTTAGAGAAAGGCTTTTAGACCTCTAGCCAAACTAAAGAAAAAAAAGCAACCGCTGTGAATATTTATACTTTGATGTTTCAGTTTGTTCTTTCATAATTTTTATACATTTCTTTAGCTTTGTGAATTTAGGGGCAGAACTTGGATGTTATTTCTCAAAAGATTTTACAGTTTTAAAAGTCTTTAATTAGACTCCACAAAATATGTGTTTTGTCCTTGAACTTAAAAAAAAATACTATAACATCTCTAAATCATATGTCTATGCCAGTATCATTCTGGGATATAATTAAGTTCATTATTAACACCAATATGGCAATAGTGAAAAGCATCAGAATTTTTTTTAAAAAGATAAATCAAATATTTTGCTTTCCCTAAACATATTAATTCCAACAGAAGAGAATTAATCATCTCAGACTCTACGAGTAATCTGAAATTTGTTTCATTTCCAAACTGTGAAAATAAGCTGGATCCCCATCTGCCTAGAGCCTAAAGAATACTTTTTTTTTAATCTAAGGGAAATGATATCACCTCACAAAAAGACAAGTTCTATCTAAACGTTAACTGTGCTCACTATATTTGCTTCTGGTCAGTGCTTCAGTTATTTAATAAAATGGGCCAAACAGAAGCAAGTGGGCAATAAAATGAGGGAAGGCTTTGAATTGGTAACAGGGAGAGGCAAGATTTGGGGAAATTATGTGCGAAAATTAAAACCTGCCCTGACTTTTGGGAGCGGTTTACAAAGTTACATAATTATTGCAGATAAAACAAATCAAATTATGAAGTACTGCTTATCTATTAGCAAGCAAAAGTGGTCTAACTGAATGAATATCTGGAAAAGAGGGTTTTTCGTTTTTCGTCTGGATATCGTTACTTTATTATAAAAGAAACGGAAATTATTTACATGATGAAAGATTTCAGAACTTCAGTGGCAGCTTCACGTGATGCCATTTCAATAGTGACTTATTTTGGTCGACGTAGTTTCCAAGAATGTCACCATCTGTAAGTAAGAAATAATCCTTGTCGTCTAGAACTACTTCGATGCCTCCATATTCTGGGAAAAGAACTTTCACTATCTGGTTGAATCTCTCCACCCTTTCCTTTAGAGCCTGATCTAACAGCTACTACCGTTGCTTGCAATACTTTTCCTTGTGATTTTTCTGGAAGCATAATGCCTCCTTTGGTTACAGTTTCGGCTGCACTTCTTTCAACTAATACTCGGTCAAATACGGGAAGAAACTTTCTAAATGCCTGTCCTGCCATGACTCTGGTTGCCGCAGTTCGTACTGTTGCTCTTTGGCCGCCGCCACAAAAGGGAGATCCGAAGTCTGACCCTCCGGCCACGTGAACTCGAGAAAAGACCTCCCAGCGCCCTCGCCCCCGGCCCCTCCCCGCGAAAGGGGGCGGCTGCACCAGCGCGCGCCACGGTTCGTTTCCTGGGCTCTGCTCAGGGCTCTGACTCGCGGACCGGTAGGCGGAAGAAAAGAGGAGGTTTTTCTAGGCTTTTCTAGGCCGCGGGCCGAGGTGAAAATACTTACCGTTAGCCCCCCTTCCGGAAATGGAAAAGAATTTTGACTAAACATATTTGAAGCATTTTGAGTACAAAAACATGTGAAACTAATTGTTATAAACCAGGTTTTTCAACCTCAATGCTATTGACATTTTGGGCTGAACAATTCTTAGTTGTCTTATGGAGTGTGTTATGGGATGTTTAACAGCATCCCTGGCCTCTACCCGCTAGATGCCAGTAGCACGCATGCACACACCAATTGTGACAACCAAAAATGTCTCTAGACACTTTTGTCTAGGGGAGGCGGGAATCGCCTCTAGTTCAGAACTACTTTATAAATTTTTTGGCAGCATGTTCCTCTATTTGTACAAACATTATGGTTATGCATCTAATATTAATCATCAAGTTAATTCTACATAACCCTTCTTGGTCTCAGCTTGATCATCCATCCCCCGGATCGAGTTGGCAACATCCCAAAACCCAGTACCACAAAGGTAATCCTAGCTATTTCTTCTCTGCAATACTGCTTTCTATCCACTGATTGGCATGCCTTTCACTTTGGGAAGTCAAAAACGTTTTAAAAACCATGAAGAGTCCATGATGAGGAAGTTTCATATTAGAGGAGCCAACTACACTTCTATACTTTAGTATTCTGGTTAGGGATTTTCATTCTGAAGTTATTCTCATAGGGATTTGATAACTATGCCCTTTCCAGTTACAGTGTAGTAAAATATGACGTTTAAGACAAAATGTTAAATTTAATTTCTATTTTTTTAATGGTCAGCATGATCAAGGAGGATTAACTAAAGAGCACAAATTGTCCTGAATTCAGTCAGTACCGTGAGATCCTGGCACATGAGATTTAAGTGATAAACCAATTCAATTATAAACTCAACTCTTTAGACTCTGTGTATCTAATAATACACACTGATATGGTGACTTGAAAAATATAACTTGGCTCACTTATTACTTGCACTTGAAACTAAAATCTTTTTCTGTAAACATCACTTATACCTCTAATATGAACTATTAAACTAAAAATATTCTCCATGTGTAACAAGTACAAATTTACCTACTTAAAATATCTGATGTTATGAAAAGGAATATCTCTAGTGTTCATCAGTATAAAGACTTCCAAAACTGCAGTCACCCACTGGTGCCATAGTTGCCAGGTGTCTATGGTTACTAGCACTCAAAGTTATAATTCATCTCTGTTCAAGAGTAACAGGTACCATTAAATCAAAGAATAAAAGAATTCTGGAAGTTGAATTGCCCCTTTAAAAAAAGTAACATGGATTGCAAGTCATATAAAACAGTTCAGGACAGCTTAAGCAAAGTGACGGATTTACTGAAAGGCTACCAGGGAATCAGCCATCAATCCCCAAAAAGAGCAAGAAGTTGGGCATTTCTGAGGCCAGCAGCAGTAGGTAGGTGTGGGATACCCTCAGTTACTAATGATAGTCAATGTTAATATTGTTCAGTCTCTGTGTCCCCCTATTCGGTACTGCCAGGAAAGAGCCTGCCCTGGCCTGGGACAGATGTCCTCTTCTTGTTGATCAGCTCTGGAGGGATGCTAGGTCACATCCCTAGGTATCAGAGGCAATGTCTGAGAATGGAGGGAGCCACGCAGCCATCACAAGAAGTATCTATTACAATCATTTTCTTTAGACCATTTATTTCAGAGTAGGAAACTCAGAGCTAGAGAGAGATCACAAAGGCAGGCAGTGACAGACCAGGATTTGTTATTATCCTGTTACAGTCTCCCTACTGGGCTTTCTCTGGTCCCACATAACCCAAAATGTTCTCCTAAAGTTGCCTTTTACTGACAGATCCAGCATCCCCACAGCAATGAAAAGGCTACTGGATG